TTTTCTTTTTGCTTATGTGGTGCTGAGGAATCGAACCCAGGGCCTCAGGCATGCAAGGCAAGCGCTCTACCACTGAGCCACCTTCCCAGCCCCTAGTTGTGTCTTTATTATTGGTGACCTTCCCCTTTAGGAGTTGCATAGTAGTAATATTCCTAATCCTGCCATTCATTTTTCATTTATTAGCTGGAATGTTTCTCTCATCTACTATTTGGTTACCCAGTAGTATTTATAAAGGAAGGAAAGCAGCCACGCACCGGTGGCTCATGCCTGTAATCCTAGCTACTCAGGAGACTGAGATATCAAGATCACGGTTCAAAGCCAGCCTGGGCAGGAAAGTCCATGAAACTTTTTTTTTTTTTTTTTGGTCAGTAATGGGGCTTGAACTCTGGGTCTGGGCGCTGTCCCTCAGCTCTTCAGCTCAAGGCTAATGCTCTACCATTTGAGCTACAGCACCACTTCCAACGTTTTTCTGCTTATCTCCAATAAACCACCAGAAAATCCGAAGTGGTGCTGTAGCTCAAGTGGCAGAGCACTTGCCTTGAGCTGAAGAGCTGAGGGACAGTGTTCAGGCCCAGAGTTCAAGCCCCATGATGGACAAAAATAAATAAATGAAGGAAGGGAGGAAGGAAGGAAGGAAGGAAGGAAAGCCAGGGTATAAGTTTCATTTTCCCCCCCTTTTAATTTACTGATTTTCAAAAGAACAAGCTGGTCCATTAGCCGCTCCAAATAGAGACCATTGAGTTTTTAGTTTTTTTTTTTTCTCTTAGTTTCATTTAGAGCTCATGGTTTCAATATATTTAATGTCTATCAGTCCATGCCATTGTTATACTCAATGCTCAAATTGCCTGTGTTTAGCTAGTGACAGCTTCTTCTAGTTGGCTTTTGTCCTTTCAGTACGACCTTTTCCTTGATTTTGGTAAGTAAAGGTGGTATTTCCTTCCCTTGAGCTTTCTTTTACTGATAAATAATACTTCAGGATAACCATCTAGGTGGTGAGATGTTTGTTGTTATTGAGTTGCTTATTGTTTCTAGGCCTTTTCAGTATACCTAGAGAATACGTTGAAGGATTTATTTTTACTTTTCAGATAGAATTGAAAATCACTTCTATCACACACAAGTACAACAGTCTTGGAATAATACCACCACCACTGTCTCCCATATGAGTACTGAACATAACTTAAGATCTTTTTATCCCAGTTATATTTGTTATAAGGATGGAAAACTGTAATGTTGCTCTACGTGACCAAAGCAAATACTTTTGGTTAATTTGTTTAATTGATTTTCTATGCTTGGTCATTTAAATCTTTAACTTCTTTTGAATCTATCATCATTTCAAAACAAGTGTTTAGGAATTTGAATCTAGTTTTAAAACTATTTAAAAGATGGACATGATTCCAAAGTAGCATGAAATGAAATAGATGCTCAAAAGCTCTTTCCCTCACCCTGTTCCCTTATTTGTTTAAGAAGTGCTAATTTACTCTTCCATTACTTGGTTTGAAAAAATATGTCAGAATTACATTTGTACAAGGATTTATCTATTTCAAGCCAAACCTCAGGCTTAGACTATTAAACCTTAAATTATTAGGCTTAGCCTGTAAGGCAATGTTACACCCTTTGCTTCACTGAGAAATAAGTGCCAGCCTTGACTTTGACACTTGAGGAACAAGGAGTTGTAGATCTTATGCCAAAAATACATAATATGAGTACTTACCTTCTAGGGCACTTCTTTTCTTTTCTTTGTCAGTCGTGGGGCTTGAACTCTGGGCTTGGGTGCTGTCCCTGTGCTCTTCAGTGAACACTACCTCTTGAGCCACAGCGCCACTTCCGGTTTTCTAGTTGGAGATAAGAGTCTCACAGACTTTCCTGCCCGGGCTGGCTTTGAATCACGATCCTCAGATCTCAGCCTCCTGAGTAACTAGCATTACAGGCATTAGCCACCGGTGCCCAGCTATTTATTTTCTTTTCAAAATATGTAAAGTACTGTATTTTTTTCAAGAGAACCTCCAAAGTGATTAAATGCATCTTTTCAGTGGGAAGATTATTTTCAAATAAGTTGCATATCTGTGCATATAGATCATTTAGAGAGGAAAACCTTTTCATCTTTCTTTTGGTTCTTGGTTTGTTTCCATTTTACAAGGAATTTGGGGGCTTCTTTACGACTTTGCTTTATCCTTGGAGTGCTGTTCTCTACATACCACAACAGTAAAGCGATTCTGCACTGTTTACCTTTGTAGTTCATTTTTTCCCCTCCTATTCCTCCCTGATTCTGTGCTCCAGTGCATTGTAGTTGCTTTTGTTTCCTAGAATTAGAAATAAGTTTGTATGCTTAAGGATATATAATAAGGCTAGGGAGGCACTTTGTGGAGAATATAGCATTAAGAGATCGATTAGAAGACTGAATTACTAAGAAATGCCTAGAAGCTCCTCAGCAAAGTAAGATAGGCAGACCTTACCTGACACTGGAGCAACTAGACACAGTGTTTCTAATTGACAGGGACTACAACAGAAAAAAGGGTCTTTTGTGTTTTGCTTTCACATCTTTTGTTTTTCTTTCAATTTTACTCCTTTAAATAGCAAATAATTTGGACCTCTTCTTCATGACCCTGTTCCAAAAGATAAAAGAATTGTTGTACAAGTAGATAAAGGAGAGTCAATTTGCATTCTTAATTTATTATATCCCGGTTTACCGAGCCCTTTGAGATAATATTAGGAAACTGGAAGAGTTTTGGAAGGAAAAATAGACATCCAGAATTTAACTGTAATTCATCCTTTCCGTAATGCCTCTGCTGGCCATACAACCAAAATGTATCTCTTTCCTTGCTTGCCAAGTAAGTGTGTGACTGAAGGAAGCTGAGGTACAGCCCATTTTCGGAAGGCACCTATGGAATAATGGGATTTACTTTACTTGTGTTAGTGTTTTACCTCTTAAGCTTTTGTGGCTTAGTTTTGAGGTATTTTTTGTCTTCTTCATGTTATTTTAGTCTATAAAACAATGCCTCATTCCCTTTTGAGGTAGATATTTACACATTAGATTTAGTGACAAAAATGTTCAAAGTAATTTTGAGCAGATGGTAAAGTAGTTGACATTTTAAGGAATGCCTACTTTGCTATGAATCTAAAATTGTGTTGTAAATATGTCTTTCAAAGTTGTTCTTTGACTGATAGGCTATGCCTCTGAAGCAGAGGTAATTCTCGCAGTGTCTTCTCTGGCCAGAAGCATTAGAATCATCTGAAAACTTGTGAAAGAGGTGCATTCTCCAGGCTTGCGTCAGAAAAGCTGGGGCTGGTTCTGAGCAGTCTGTTTTAACAAGTTCTGTAGGGAATCTGATTATATGCTCAGCCACTGTGTTGGCTTTTTACATGACAACTTATATATACCACCGACCTAAAATGGTCCTCAGCTTCTGTTTTTAAAGTGATTGGAATTGAAACTCTCTAGAACTTTGTTTTTCATGTTCCTGATTGTTATCCATACCACTTTAGCTCTATGGACTTATATTTAGGAAAATGTTAGCATCAGGCTTTATCTTGGTGCAGTTACTTCAGTAATTTTCACGGTACTTTCTTAAGAAAGCAAACACACACAAAAAGAGTTTCTTTTGTGGTATTCCTGTTTTCAAGGTAACATATACTTAATTTTAGTTTTAAGTGAAAATATCAAATACTTCAAAATTAAGATAGCTTTTTAAAAAAGGAGTGGGTACTTAGTTTTTGGTTACCAGTAATACTTGCTTGTTCATCTCGTGCTCTGCCACTTGAGCCACACCTCTAGCTCAGCTTTTTTCTGATTATTTTGGAAATGGAATCTGGAAAAACAACTCTGCCTGGGGTGGCCTTGAACCTCCATTCTCCAGTTTCAGGTTGCAAATAGCTAGGATTTACAGGTATGAGCCACTGGCACCTGGCTCAAATACCAGTGTTCTGATTGCCAGTTATCTGTTGCAGCTTATGAACTGTTTTTTTTTTTTTTAATGAATGAGTAATTTGAAATTTACTACTCTATAGTCATCCTTCTCATTGTCTAAAATGCTTAAAAGAGGAGTGTTGTTTTGTTGTTTTGTTTTGTTAATGTGCATTCATACCTTTGAAAGTCTATGTCTACAGGTTATAGTTTATGGTATAATATGTACCAGAAATAATGGTACAAAATAATGTTTAATAAAATAATTTAAGTATAATGTTTTTGAATAGTTTACCTTAAGAGTACCTGTGAACTGTGATATAAACTAATCATGTCAGTCATTTCATCGGTTAGCTTTTTGGTTATGTGTATGATTTTGAGTGCATAAACTAGCTTTAAATGATTTTGATGTACTCATTGACAAGACTTGCTTTTTTTTTTTTTTCCCTAAAATCTTATAGACCAAGCTTGGCTACATATCTTTAAATGGGACCCTGATTCTAAGTGGATTGCTCTATTTGTTAGTAATAGATACCACTAATTCATACTGCTAAATTATCCAGTTGGCTGATGTATGTGTGTGTGCACGCACGTGTATGTGTGCTATTATTAAGATCTAATTTTTATGTGAACTCATTTTACATTTGATTATTCTTTGAATTTCAGGATGGTGAGGAAGAAGAGAGTGAGAAAGGTATGTTTGCTAAGTAGAGTTTAAAAATTGCTGACATTTCGAAAGTAAATGATGTACAACATCCTTACTTGAAATCCTATTTTTAAAGTAAAACATTTATTTTCAAATTTATCAATTTAGTGAATTAATAAGTGAGCATTTTGATTTAATTTTCAATTGGTTTTACTTTTCTTTTGCACACTTAAGATATAGTCTAAATAGTACATTATCAGTTCCTGTAGCTATGATTGCCGTATTTAACTTTAATCTAATTTTGATTTTATTTTAAAAATAACTTAGCATACGGTAAGTCAATTAGGCCCTTGAGGCTGGTACTGCAGTCATTCATATGTGCTTACTGGAGAGTCTCAGTGAGTTTTACAACTAGTTCTAAAAATGGTGAAGGACCAGAGAACTGACATTGTGTTTGCTGCTTAGAGAACTTTCCTACAGTCTTCTGACCATTTTGGAGAACTGTTTCACCTAAAGTAGTTACAGGGACAACAATAGCAATACATGTGGTCACTAGGAGGTTGAGCTCTTGGACAGAAGTCAGCCCATCCTACTTTGGACCCGGAACAGTCGTCTCCACAAGGCAGAATCAAAAACCTAGGAGCAGTGATGAAGTAGAGCCACTTACTGACTTGAAAATCTCATGTTTTGAGGCCTATCTATCTCTTGGAATAATGGAAGACATCGTTGACAATGGTAACTACAGGCTAACTGGACAGGATGAAGACCAGAAAGCACCATTCCCTAGATGCATCTTTGGAGCCTTCCAATGCAGCGTTCTATCCCATTCTGGACTACCCAGGAATAGAAGAGTGAAAAAGATGGGCCCTGAAATACTTCGAAGACTGTTATCGTCAGACTGTGAGCTTCCAAGAAGTCCCCAAAGGAGTTCTGAAGGCCACAAGAGTTAAGTCCCAAGATGATGGGAACATCGAATAACAAATCTGCACCTTGTCATCCCATGGAGGGAGAAAACAAATCTTCATCTACTTTTCATTTCTAACCACAAATGAAGAGCTAATATCTTCAGGATGGAGCCTCTTTCTCACTATGTTGTATGGTGTTTGTATGTAGAGATCATTTTTCCCCATGAAGAATAAGTGATCCTGGGTAAAGGATTGTTTATATTAGTTAATTCCCTTGTGTTTTTTTCCCCTTAATCTTCCATCAGTGCTAATAACTGGCTTTATATTTTCTAGGTCCTATTCTAGCTTATGAATATGAAATTGTTTATAAACTTCTTGTTTTGCCATATTTATTCCTGTTAAATCCTCTTAGATATAGCAGGTTCTGGTGATGGTACACAAGAAGTATCTAAACCTCTTCCTTCAGAAGGGAACCTAGCTGAGGCTGATCACACAGCTCATGAAGAGATGGAAGCTAATGCGACTGTGAAAGAAGCTGAGGATGACAACATCTCGGTCACAATCCAGGCTGAAGATGCCATCACTCTGGATTTTGATGGTGATGACCTCCTAGAAACAGGTAAAAATGTGAAAATTACAGATTCTGAAGCAAGTAAGCCAAAAGATGGGCAGGACGTCATTGCACAGAGCCCGGAGAAGGAAACCAAGGATTATGAGATGAATGCGAACCATAAAGATGGTAAGAAGGAAGACTGCGTGAAGGGTGATCCTGTCGAGAAGGAAGCCAGAGAAAGTTCTAAGAAAGCAGAATCTGGAGACAAAGAAAAGGATACTTTGAAGAAAGGGCCCTCGTCTACTGGGGCCTCTGGTCAAGCAAAGAGGTTTGTTTTTCTATGTCAGTTCTTTACGATACTGAATTCCAGCATTCAATAAGATCACTCTACATTAAGGGGGTGGCTTCAAGACCATGTACAGTAATTAGTGTCTTATGATCCTGCCTATAATTTTTTTGATCGTCATAAGTTACTTTTTAAAAATGTCAAGATCTTCATATATGCAGTGTGTCCTACTGATTGCATTGTCGAATTGTCACCATATATTTGGTTTTTTGTTTTTTGTTTTTTTCAAATTGACGATTTTTTTTTGGTTTTATTTTTAAAAACCCTTGTGATGATGGTTAATGAACAACTGTCAGTTCTAAGAACACAAAATGAAGTCAAGTCCCAGTCCTGAAATCTGGAGAAGATGGCCATATATCCACTCGATAGAATTCTCAGAAAACTAGCTCTTCAGGCACCTTGGGGAAAATCAGTGCAAGATCCTAAGGGAGTCATTTGTTGGAATAACCTAATCTAGGCTTTTGGAATTGTTAATTTGTAAAAATAGCACTAGTTTGCAATATAGTCAATATCAAACTGTTTGATTTTTGTTTTGGGTTTTTGTTTTTGTTTTTTTTTTTCCTTCAATTTTCTTCTAATGATTTGTCTCTAGCGCTTCAAAGGAATCTAAAGACAGCAAGACATCCTCTAAAGATGACAAAGGTAATGGAGTTTTCACCCTCTTATTTCAGTGATAGCCCTCCATATTTTCCACTAAAACGTAGTAGTTGTCTGGTTATTTCCTCTGACGTTTAAAATTCTATTAATAGATTAAAAATTCTGGGTGGTCTTTGCAACCTATGTCTTTCTTTAGATACAATACAGGAGACTGTGATTACAGCATTATTTTATGTACTTTGTAAACTGGTAGGAGTGTGTTAATTCATTTGCTTGGGAAATTTGTTATGTTTAAGCATATTGAATATTAATAGGTATTTAATTTTCTTTATAATTTCAGAAATATTTTCTCTTTAATTGCAGTGATTTTGAACCACTGTTTATAACCACATTCGTTTCCCTGTTTTTTAAGGAAGAAATAGAAACTTTATAATACTTGTATATTTGATCATTTGAAAGTAAACATACATGAACCAGGCATCAGTCCATGGGGCTCACACCTGTAATCTAGCTACTCAAGAGGCTGAGATCTAAGGGTTGTGGTCTAAAGCCAGCCTGGGCATAAAAGTCCATGAAACTCTCCAATTAACTACCCAAAAGCCAGAATTGGAGCTGTGGCTCAAGTGGTAGAGCACTAGCCTTCAGCAAATAAACTCAGGGATGGCACCCAGACCCTGAGTTCAAGTCTGATGACCAGCACAAAACAAAACATCTTGTTCAGTTTTATTTCTTTCATGCCTTAAAAGCAGGACAGAGTTCTGTTAACATAGATGGTGAGCAATATTTTAATGCTTCAGAATTTATCCCCTAACTTATTTGGGATTTTTGAAAAACAACATTTTTTAAATATAATTTTAATTTCTGTACAATTTAAAGTGTAGTAGTTTGCTTTTTGCTATTGGTTCTCTCGTGCCCATAGATAGTTCATCTTGTACACATGACAAGTAATGATTTTGTAATAAAGTATTCTAATGGAAAATATATCATCCATCCAGTTACTACAAAGTCCTCAAATATCTCTGGAGTGCCTAAACTAAAGTAGGATTGTATACATGCACTATGGTTTATTTAGTGTGTCTTGTTGTTGTGTTTTAATAGTTGGAAATGATAAGTGATTTGAGTTAGTAATTCACAGTTGAAATACCTACATCTTTTACAGCTTTAGTTTGTAAGTTACCAACAGTGTATAAAATTTTATCCTTTAATTTAGAAGCTTAGTAGTGTTAGATAAATAATGCCTTTTTCTGTCAGTAAAAATAAATAAATTAAAATCTGTAGTTAGGTAAGTACTGAGGCCCAAGTGTTGTTACTGGTTAAAAAGATATACCTAAACCTCTAGTTATAATTTATAAGATAAAACATACTTTGATCAATGTCCTTAGGAAGGGAAAAGCACCAGTCATTAATATTTAAAATATTTGAGTCAGGTATATATTGTCTCTTCCTATAAAAATCTACACTGATTAATTTTTCAGCTGTGCAACTTTTTAAAGCATTAGAATTTTTATTCATTGTACTCCTACTTTTTATATAATAGCATGAAAAATTAGACAATAATTTTCCTTCTACCTCAACTTTTATTCTAGGATATGGCATCTATATGTAAAACCATAATTTGCGATTGGAAATTAAAAAAATGATATATATGATCATTATTCTAAATGGTTTCAGAGTCTCCGAACCTAAGTTCTTGTGGTGGTTTGTTGTTGAAGGGTTGCTTTTTGTTTTTTTCCTTTGAAGTAGATCTAGAATTGACCAACAATATGTAGCTTCTATTTTCTCTTATCTTTTCTCTAATAGAGAAGGGAGGTTAACAGGTTAGCTTTCCTGTGAGCCATTTAAATGATTAAAAAGGTTTGTCCCATCCTCTGACTTTTCCCTCTTCCACTCCAGCTTCTCAGGACCTAAAGCCCACAACAGATGAGCACTTAAGTAGTCTGTTCCTTCCTAGAGGACTGCTTCCTGGTTGTCTGTGTCAGTGCAGTGGTAGAGTATAAATTATTAAACTTGACAGAAAAAGCCCAAGGCATGTACTTGAGTTTTGCATCCACGTTGACTTAAAATTCATACAAAAGGAAGTATATAAATATTTTGGATTCATTTCCTCACTAGTTATATATTAACTCTTTAATTTCAATGCTGGCAAATTCATAGGACTTTTACATAGTAAGGTCATTTGATCAAAATTGAAGTGCAAGGATTTTTCAGTTTTTAAAGGATAATAACCCATATAATTTTGTAAAGAGAAAAAAGTTCCAAGCAAGATACTTAAACATGTGATATTAAATCTATTCTAGGAAGTACAAGTAGTACTAGTGGTAGCAGTGGAAGCTCAACTAAAAATCTCTGGGTTAGTGGACTTTCTTCTAATACCAAAGCTGCTGATTTGAAGAACCTCTTTGGCAAATATGGAAAGGTACATTCTTTTTACCTTTTAATCCATCTTTCTCCTAGCTGCATTTGAAGCCAATTTCAGTACTGCATATATATATATATAGTCTAGTTTTGTATATCTAAGGACATCACAGACTTGTTGGATTCTGAGGTAATGGTAGATTATGGTTATGGGGTTGGTGTTTCTGTCACTTATTCCCACTTTGGGCCCCAGGGGTCTTTGTAAAACTATGCTTTCTTCATTATAACTTTTTTCTAATACATTGTGGAGGCTCATATGGTCACTTTGAAAATACAAGTAGACCTGTGGTAGGCAACAGAATTCATAAGATGGAGAAAACCCGAATATGAACGTTGAGATTGTTCCAATGTTAGAGACAAATATAAAAGCATGTACTCGATGTTTGCATGTGTGTATTTGAATATTCAGAAGTTGTCCTAAGTTCTGTAAAGGAAGAGTATGGGTCTTGAGAGAAAATGTGGCAATAGTTGATTCATCAGGAAGTTTCTCTAGCATTTAAGGCAAGACCGAACCCTAAAAGAGGATCAGTAGTAGTCAGAGAATATTCAGTTAAAGCAGTTACATCGAATTGCACTTGATCTATATCTGTCAAGGATTCCAGTCTTTTCTACTTGTATTTTATTTTTTCCTATGTATTTTACAAATTTATTTAACTTACTCCAATCCCCTGTATGAGTGCAGCAGCCCTGCCTCTTAATGTCTTGTTGGCTTTAGGAGGGTTGGCTTTAGGGGCAGTGACTAAGGTTTTACCCACATGACTTTGTGCTTGGTAGGCAGGTGCTCTACCACTTGAGTCACACCCCCAACATCTTCAATTAGGAACTCACCTGAGCAAAGAGGCTCTTGTCAGTGACAGAGGAAGGCCAATGAGTTGTGGTCCCATTATCAGCTGTGATGTATTTTTTGTTTTCAATAATGTATTGTTAGATTGGTTTAAAAGAAAAAAAACAATACATTGATGGTGGTATTTACTAAGACCACAACTCTCTAAGGATACCATTCAGTTGGAGACAATCCCATGGATGAAAACTGAAATTGCCATGGGGACAAGTCATCCTTTCCAAGAATGGAGAGAAGCTGCTCGTTTCCAGCAACTCACCCTGAAAAAAATCCTCCTTATTTATCTAACTCTTCATCTGTTCATGGCAGTATGTCTCTGTTCCTTTTTGTTTGTACTGAATGATTCTTGCTTTTTTCCCCCACTCATCCATCCCTGCCTTGTCTCTTCACTATTCGAGAATAGAATAGTTCTGTTCTAGAACTAGAATTGAAATTCTTTGTCACTTATGTTGATAAAAATTATAAAGGACATAGACGGGAGAGGCTCTTTACAGTTTTATGGTGTGTTTTAGAGGGAAGTAATAGTTTTTAAGTTGTTTTTTTAAACATATGTCTGGTTATTTACTCATTTTTAAAATACAAAGTTATTCATGGGAAAGTTGAAACTTATTGATAAACCTGTACAAACCTACATTTTTCTCTAAGAAATTCAGAAGGTGTCTATGGTAAGGAAATTGGTCCAAATTCAGTTTCTTTGCCTTTGTTAATTATACCATTACTTCATTGATGTGACTGGTGGTTCAGACTTTATATTGGCATAAAGAAGCATAAAAAAAAACAAAGGTAGGTTAAATTGCTTTGTGACATTTTATTCCATTCAATATCTACAAAGTACATAGTGGCAAGGTAGATGATAACAATGAGCTGAAAAAGAATAACATATACAAGGAAAGAAAGCACACATCAATGTATCCTAACTAGATTTCTTTAAATTGAAGCATCTTAGTCAAGTTTTGCCTGTTGAGAAATAGGGGTGGTTATCAAGTTGTAAATCTTCCTCAACTAAAATGTCTTTCTATAGGTCTTAAGTGCAAAGGTGGTTACAAACGCTCGCAGCCCTGGGGCAAAGTGCTATGGCATTGTGACAATGTCCTCCAGCACAGAGGTGTCCAGGTGTATTGCGCATCTGCATCGCACTGAGCTGCATGGACAGCTGATTTCTGTGGAAAAAGTAAGCTTGCCTAACTTTATCAAATGAAAATGTTTGTACATGTTGAACATGTCCAGGTCTGAAAATCCAAAGTCAAAAATCTTGAGTGTCACCAATATTTAAAAACTTTCAGAGCATTGTTAGATTACAGATTGTCTGATTAGGGCCATTCAGCCAGTAAAGCCTCTGATCCCAAGTATCTTATGTAAGGACTAGTCAACCTATCATTCAATTTAAAGACAACTCTGTTGAGTGTTGATTGCCATGCCTGTTAGTCCTAATAAAGGATGGAGCCAGGAGGAGGTGAGCCGGAAAACCATCTTTAAAAATAAGCCAGGTACCAGTGGCTCATGCTTATAATCCTGGCTACTCAGGAGTCTGAGATCAGAGGATTGTGGTTCGAAGCCAGCCCGGGCAGGAAATTTCTGAGACCTTTTTCTCCAATTAACTACAAAAAGCTAGAAGTAGAGCTGCGGCTCAAGTGGTAAAGCACTAGCCTTAGCATAAAAGCTAAGGGACAAGCCGGGCACCAGAGGCTCATGCCTGTAATCCTAGCTACTCAGGAAGTCTGAGGATCACAGTTCAAAACCAGACCAGGCAGGAAGTCTCTACTTAGAAAAAGCTGGACGAGCCGGGCGCTGGTGGCTCACGCCTGTAATCCTAGCTACTCAGGAGGCTGAGATCTGAGGATCACGGTTCAAAGCCAGCCCGGGCAGGAGAGACTGTGAGACTCCTATCTCCAATAAACCACCAGAAAACCGGAAGTGGCGCTGTAGCTCAAGTGGTAGAGCGCTCGCCTTGAGCTGAA